AGAGTGACCTCCCATGGAGACCGTAAAGATAGCGATTGTGGGAATGGAAGCTTCCTCGATGATGTCTAGTAAGGGGGTGAGGGGCTTGGTTTGGACCAACGAAGGGGGGAAAAGCACCTACAAACGTAGATGTGTTTTTAAACAGTCGATGTCATGTCGTGGGGACTTAGCCACCATGTTGTGGCCCACCCAAAAATCCTCAAAATTAATATTCGATAAATTAAACTTGGAAAAAGCATTACCTAGAAAAAATGGATGTTACAGCTTAAGATATATTTGGACAAGTGAAAGAAAGATATTTCAAGGCTCCAAAAAGACTCTTGAACAAAGTGGGCCAACCACATGCTTATCGTCAAAGGAAAGTATAGGCTTAATGTCTGTATGTATGTTGCATGGATTAAAGTCAGCCATATCAGCCTTATTAATGATTTCTTGGGCAAAAGTGACTTGTGACATGAATAGTCCACTAGTAGTCCATATGGAAACAATGCCTAAAAGATAAAGAACTTAAGTTAGTCATGGGAAACTCAGAAGAAAGACAAGTAATAATTGTGGTGATTAAGAAAAGGAATCAATGAGCACATATCATTGTCATAAAGCAACAAATAAATGGTGTTAGGTCTACGATGAAAGGTGAACAGAAAACTGTAAGAACGGCTGTTGCAAAAGCCGATATAGGTGATATAAGCATTAATCATCGATACCAAGCCCTAGGGGTTTGTTTGAGACCATAGAGAGCTTTTCTGAGACAACATAAATGATCAGGATATTTGAGGTGAACATTACATAGGGATTGTTTCATGTAGACTTCCTCAATGAGGTCACCATGCAAGAAACCTTTTCTGACAGCAAGTTGATGGATAAGCAAATTTATAGAGACAATAATGTTGAGGACGGTGCAGATAGATGTCGTTTTGGCTTTCGGGCTGAAAGTATCATTGAAGTCAAGACCAAGCTATTTTGAAAAGTCTTGGTCAAAACGGTTGGCAGATAGAGTAAACATATCCTTATCTTGCTTTAGTGAGGATCATATAGAGCCTAAGTAATAGACCTAGGAATAAGATATACATACATATATATATATATATATATATATATATATATATATATATAATAGAGAGATTTTGAAATTTAAAGGGTTTGAGTTACCAGTTCGTGATCAGGTGGTCATAGAGTGACCTCCCATAGAGACCATAAAGATAGCGATTGTGGGAATGGAAGCTTCCTCGATGATGTCTAGTAAGGGGTGAGGGGCTCAGTTTGGACCAACGAAGGGGGAAGGAGCACCTACATGGGTAGATGTAGAAGATGAGCTCATGAGAGATGAGTTACATAAGCGCAGAATGATGGAGGGTGTTGTTGATTCATCAATAAATGAATCATAAAAAGAGGGATCAGGAGACGTGTGAAATTGAGGAAAGGGAAAGTGTTTCTTATAAAAAAATATCATGTCTTGATATAATAACATTTTGTGTGTTAAGGTCAAGACAATGAGAGACACGATGATATTGAGAGGGGACAAGATAGACACATGCATAAGATTGTGGCTTAAGTTTGTGAAGAGTGGTTGAAATAGTGTTGGAAGAAGACCCGAAGATGATGATAGGTGGGAATAATACCAAAGAGGATCTCGAATTGGGTTTTAAAGGATAAGATGGTGGTGTGAAAAAAAATTCAAGGTGTGAATTGTTGTAAGAAGAGCTTCCACCCAAAACTTCAGAGGGAGAGAGGCTTTAAACAAGAAGGTGCTTATGATATTATTTATTGTGTGTATGGTACCTTCAACTTTCTCATTTTGTTATATGACGTGTATGGACAAGAAAAACAAACTTTTATATAGTGTTGTTGAAAGAAAGTGAGTAAAGGTTGATTGTTGAACTCTTAGTCATTATCATATTGGAAAAGTTGAATATCTACTTTAAATTGGTTGAAAACTTAGGCACGGAAATTATGGAAAACGTGAAACACATCAGATTTGACATGTAAGGGAAAATAACCCACAAAAAAATGAATAATAATCTAAAAAAGAACATAATATTTATGACCACTTAGACTAGTAACATGAGAAGTCCATGTGTCTGAATAGACTACTTTAAAAACACTAGATGTTTTAGTAGTTAACCTAAACGACGTTTTAGTAGTTGACCTAAACGACTGTGTTTTCCAACTAATAAAAACGACATGAATGTAAAAAAAATGAAGGACAGAGGAGCCAAGATAACCAAGTCGTCAATGTCAAGTAGGAAGAGACACATCAGCCAGGGCAGTGACATGGAAAGAAGCACGCATTAGATGGGAAGTAGATGGGAGAACTGGATGTAGGACATCAATACTGTCACAACGCTACAAAATTGTACATGTTTCAAGATCCCTAGCAAAAAAAATAGAATGATCAAATTCAATGAAAACGGAATTATCAAACCTACGAACCGACACTAAAATTCTGACCATTTTATTGGAAACGATGACATTTCTAAGAAGAAATCGGTTGTTTGAGTGGAGAAAAAAGTCAGGGACAACAAAGCTAACTAGTAGTAAAGCACCATTTCCAACCACAATGGATTTGAAGTTATTACATTTTGCTAATGAAAGCATGTTATCTTGATTGAAAGTCATGTGAGAGTTTGCACCTAAATCCATGTAATAGTTATTTTGATGCAAGTTGGCCCGACTGTTGTAGTAGCATATCAGGCTGATGGTGAGGCTTGGTTGAAGTGGAAAAACATCCACAGTTGTTCCATATAATGATTCATATTTTCAATGAAAAGTAGATAAAGTTGTGTCTCCAGACAATTTGAATAAAAAATGGACCAAAAGGACTGCCAAAGAAAAAAAAAAGGAAAATGATACAGAACGAGGGTCACTCTTGTGAAAGAACAAGAACCTGTGGTTGTTTAGAAAGAAACCTCATATCATTTATTTATGTCCACAACAATCACAAACTTAATCATTCATGTTCTAACAACCAATAACAATATATGGCAACTCCAAAAACTAAAAATCAAAATATAAAAAGTCTAAATAGAGTAGTTAGAGATCAACTTGTCGACATGAATGATGATGTCATCTATCAATGGTCGAACAGTGGGTTGAGGCTGTAGCATCCACGATACAAACTGATGAAGAGCATCCGGGTATGGTGGTTTTGGAATTCCCCCTCCTCCTCCTGTTACACTTGGCCACTTTATCTGTCCATTCATAATAGCCAATTGCAAGCTCCCTCCCGATTCCCCTAACGCATACTCAAATGGAGACACGCCATACCTGTTTTAAACATATCATCCATTTATCTTTATACAGACAGACAACACTTTATACAGACAACACTTTATACAGACAGACAACACGACTTACATTATGGCAAACAAAGTGCAACCGAGTGACCATATATCAGTTCGTTCATCGATGTCTGTTTGACTTGGGCAATCCCATAGCTCTGGAGCTCGAAAGGGAGCTGAAACATGCTCTGATGCCCATTCCTAAACATTATTCAAACAATCTTATAATTATCCATTGGCATTGGATGGATGGAGGTAAGACTGTCTACATCTACCTACCTGCAACTGCAGTGCCTCTGAGCGGGACCGGATTTGCCTTTTCGCAGGACGCGCGCTTCCAAAATCCATCAGTACGGCGAGAGGTGGTTGACCTTTACGATGTGTTAAAAGGACATTTCCCGGTTTCACATCGTTATGCGCGTATGGCGGGTCAAGAGAATGCAAATGCTTCAGTCCTGCGCACAACTGCAACCCAAATCCTACAATTAGACCCTGACAAGACAGAACAGAACAGAACAGGTTGTACTGTGTTTGCTGGTTACCTGTCGGAATATATGAAGAACATCAGATGTGGAAAAAAACTGTTTTTTAGATTTCATTGTTGTTGAATTGTCCAACAAAGTCCCATCCAGATGAACTGGAAACAACAGGTATGCTTCATGTGTCCAAGGTTGTTCAGGTGTGGCCTAAAAAACAAAACAGAATCATGTTAACAAATTGTTTTTCATAAAGTGAATGAAAAAGGTCGATGATTTTATATGTTCGCAGATCTGATTGTGTATAGAAATAAGCTCTACCTTTACTGGAATAATGGCATGATCCAACAATGGCAGCAGATTTGGGTGGCTAAACAAGGCGGATACACGGATCTCTTCCTTCACCAGCTCCAGCTGATCGTTATTCTGAATCAAAACTTTCTTCATCGCATACGTTCCATCCTCTGGAGATGAAATTAATTCGTAACTATAACGAAATCAACGAATGCAATGCGGATACTTTAAAACCCTAGAAATGGAATCTCAGATTGTGGGATTTGTATTTACCGGCGATGTGAGAGGGGTCTTTGAACTTCTTAGAGACGCCACCGCCGGAAGCGTCGGTGAAGGCCTCCCTAACAAGGAATACGTAGGCAAAACCACCCTCGCCGAGCTGGCGGACGATCTTGAAGCGGTTGTCGTTGATCCAAACATCAGCGCCTCCGTTAACGGCGTCGTATAGGGCGTTTAATCCTGAAAAAGAACACCCCATTTCCTGGCTCAGTTAATTGGTAAATGGCGATGCTCTCCCGTAAAGAGCAAAACCCTCTCCCTCTGTCTGTACTCCACGAAAAGATTGCCGGAAGGAATGAATCTTCGATATTAAGGAGTTCGTGGGTTTCTGTGTGTTGACATAAGAACAGATCATGGGATATCTGGAGCTGATTGTAAATCGAGTAGAATTCACACAATCATGGCGATTGATCAATTCTTGTTGAATGGGAAGGGTTAACTATAGGTGAAAAACTAAAAAAAATTGATGTGAAAAACTAATAAGGGTAAATTACACCGTTGGTCCCTCGTGCACATGCCAGAAAGTATGTTTAGTCCCTATTTCCAAAATTTAACTCGTGCAGTCCCTCGTTGTTATTTATCTTGCATGGTTAGTCCCTATGCACGTTAACTGTTAACTCCTTCCGTTTAAGCCACCCACGTGCCTTGCACGCAGGGGCATTTTCGTCTTTTCAGGGTTTGTATACATGAACCAGTATGGCGCGACTTCGATAACCGATCATTTCTGATTTCATCCTCCGTCGACCCTTAGCATTGCACGAGAAAACCCTAGTTTTCTACGATGGTGAACTGGAGGATTAGGCAAGAATGGGAGGAATACGATCTCCAAAGCTCATACGGTAAAATTTTCTACATTTTCAGTTGATCATCCATTATACGTTCCTAAAACGTAATTTTTTTTTGGGTTCGCAGCTGACAATCCATGTATGTTCTCGATACGATTGAACTATGGTGGAGTTTTTACGAAGTTTCCAGGCCGCAAATACATAAAGGGGAAGATGAAATATATTGATGGCATTGATAGTGACTTGTTCTCGGTGCATGATATGGACGAGATAATGGAATTGCTTGGTTGTGTGGAACCAGGTAAAAGTATTTATTATCATTTCAAACGACCAACCTGGGATTTAGATTTTGGGTTATATGCTTTGGGTTGTGACGAAGATATAAACCACTTTAGGTCATACGTGTATGAACACAAGGTGATAGAAGTGTATACAGAGTTTTGGGAAACCAAGCTCCATACGTATCAAATGTCCCCAAACCCTGCAAAGATAAAGATACACGAAATTCCTGAGTCCCTTTGTCGTAAAAGCTTGTTATTGACATGGTCAAATTCAGGGGATTGTCCTAGTGAAGAAGCCCCTGTTTTTGAGAATGTAGAAACTATGGACGAACCCCCTAGTACATTACTTGAAACAACCTTGGAACAACCCCTTGTTACATTGAGTGAAACAGTTGAGTCAACCCCTGCCTATATACCAAGAATTGAAAGCCCTTTGACTGAACCAATGATAGGAAGCACATGTCCTAATGTTGATGGTTGGGATGATACATTTGAATGGTGTGGGACTCCTATGGAACAAGATGAACCAAATAGTGAAAAAGCAGGTGAAGACAGTCAAGCTAGTAAAGACAGTCATGATAGTGATGACACTGAAGATAGTGAATACAGTCAAGATAGCGATTACATAGTTGATGAAGATAATTTGTTAGATGATCCAGAGGTTGATATGAAGAACTTTCACCTCAACATTGACAAAGAGGTGGAGTGGTTGGAAGTTTTCCTGATGATCGAGATGAAGCAGTAGAAGGTGATGAAGAATTAGAGGTTATAAACACTGAAGAATTTGTATCTGCATCTTCATCAGATGAGGGTGAAGCTAGTAAAAAAAGGAAGAAGATAAGAGATTTACGAAGAGCACATAAGAATGAAGCAGCTGCTATCAAAGATCCATTTTACATCCACCAGACTTTTAGCACAGCCAAGGAAGTTAGCAACAAATTTATCTTCATTCCATACAGAGTAGAAGGGAGTTAGACTTCGTCAAGAATGACAAAAATAGGATTAGAGTGGTTTGCAAAGGGACAATACCAAACCTTGGGATATTAGAAACAGGTGGGACCAGCAAAAGTAATGACAAAGTGGGACCAAGTCAAAAGAAAAAGAAAGTGAAAGATGGTTCTGTTCATAAATGCCCATGGGTCCTACTAGTGAGTAAGTGGAAAAAAGACATTAACTGGACTGTTAAGACCTATGAAAAGCAACATACGTGCCTTCAAACAAGGAAAATTAGGGCATGTAACTACAAGTTTCTCTCTGAACAGATTGTTGACACAGTGGAGGCAAACCCAGAAATACCACTTAGAGCATTACGTGAGATGCTTGAGAAGAAATACCAACTTGGATTGTCAGACATGAAAGTTCATAGGGCGAAAACGAAAGCCCTGGAATCAATTAGGGGAGATTTTGCTGCTCAGTACTCATGTCTAAGAGACTACTTACAGGAGGTGCAGAGTAGAAATCCAAACACCACAGTCAAACTTCAAGTGCAAAGTGAACCATGTTATGCATCTGAGACCAGGGTATTTGAACGAGTATACATTTGTCTTGGTCCACTGAAAAGTGGATTTGCAGCAGGGAAAAGAGATTTACTAGGGCTTGATGGTGCATTCATGAAGGGTCCATACCATGGTATGATCCTGACAGCAGTGGTATGTGCATAATCATATTTTAGTATTTGATTAATGTTTGACCATAGTTAATTGTTTGCTTATTACTGTGTTTGACATGATAATTCAGGGTTTAGATGGGAACAATTGCACATACCCTTTGGCATATGCAGTTGTTGAAGCAGAGAACTTTAATTCATGGACCTGGTTTTTAACTAACTTAGGAGATGATCTTGGTTTGTATGCAAACTCCAACTTCACTTTCATATCAGATAGACAGAAGGTAAATAAATTTCTCCATTCATTTTCACATGCATGTTTTACAATTCAATAAGCAACCTCACTCTTTTGATGATTTAGGGGTTATTGCCTGCACTTGAGAAACTTTTCCCAGCAGCAGAGCATAGATATTGCCTAAGGCATCTTCATGAGAACATGAAACGTAAATGGAGGGCAAGGAATTCAAGGATTGTCTTTGGAAATGTGCAACATGTACCACCATACCACAATTCAACAGTGCCATGGAAGAATTAAAGAAACTTAACAGTGAAGCATATGACTGGCTTAATTCTATTCCACCTAAGCACTGGTCCAGATCCCACTTCTCAGGTATATAATATTATGTTTATAAGTGTATAATTTTTAAAAATAATCTAATACAGTTGTGTTTTATTAGGGAGGGCACATTGTGATGCTGTGTTGAATAATATGTGTGAGAGTTTGAATAGCAAGATAGTGAAGGGTCGTGATAAGCCAATTATCAGTTGCTTGGAGTTTATTAGGGAGTATATCATGAGGAAAATTGTCATGGTTCAAAAAGAAATTGATAAAGCTAATGGCCCATTAACTCCTACAGCCACTAAGACCCTTGAAAAAATTAAAGAAAGGGCATCACAGTGTAGGGCAGTGTTCTGTGGCAATGGGAAGTACCAGGTTACAAGTGAAGGTACTAATCAGTATGTGGTTAATATGGACCAACAAACTTGTTCATGTAATAGGTGGGAACTGACAGGCATACCCTGCAAACATAGTATAGCAGCTATATGGGATATGAGGCTCAACAATGAAAATGTTGGAATACCTGAGACATGGGTACACCCAACTTATTGGCTCAAGACATGGAAAGAAATGTATGTCTTCAAAGTTGAACCTATTAATGGGAGGTTATTGTGGGAAAAAAGCACATGTCCTACCAAGTTGATACCACCAAAGTATCGTGTCCCTATTGGCAGACCAAAAAAAAAGAGAAGAAGATCTGCAACAGAAGATGATGGAGTGTCCACAAAATGGAAATCTGTAACATGCACAAAATGTGGAAATGTGGGCCATAATGGAAGGACCTGCAAGGGACAATCACATACTGGGAATGGAACAGGAGAAGGTGCAGCAGGGAATACAACAGGAGAAGGTGCAGCAGGTAGCAGTGGTGGTGTACAAAATGGAGTTGGGAACAAAGGAAAAAGCCCCATGCTTTGAGAATTTGTAGTGTTGTATTTTGATACTTTGTTGTTATGTGTTGTATTTTGATACTTTGTTGCTGTGTAGGATAACTGTTTGTATGCCACAAGACTATGTTGTTATTTTGGATGTCCCTTTATGTTAATGGTCAATGGTTATCTTGGATATTTTAGAGTTTTTGTCCTTTTTAATTGTTATATTGGATGCTAGTATTGAATGGTATATTGCATATGTTGCCATTACAATATACACATACCAACTGATAACATTGAATGGTATATTGCATAGTATTGAATGGTATATTGCATATGTTGCATATGCTAGTATTGAATGGTATATTGCATATGGTATATTGAATGGTTTAATTGTTTGTATGCCATATACCACATTTTCATTAAATTTGAACACCAACTGATAACACCACATTATGATTACACAATATATTGTAACTAAAATTGAAATTTTTTTGTTAATACAAATAACATTACAAAGAGTCTCCATTACAATATACACATACCAAAATACTAACAACTTCATTACTTAACCTACACTTTATATATAAGGACTGAAACAAAAAAAACCCAGCTAATAACTAGGTAAAGCTTCAATTTGCGATTTTGTTCTTCAAGTTTCATCCTAAACGCCATACAATCACAGTCCTGATCATAATCATTCACCCATCCTATGAACTTGCATAATGGTCCCTGAACCAATTAAAGTAGATGAAGAATTAGGGCAAAATTAGAGAAGACGAAGAACGAAATTGAAGTCATTAACCTTACCTTTACTGTACAACCATAATAGAGTTTCCCAGGGTTTCTTTTGCTATAAGATGTGCGAATCACTGCAGTGGCTCCACAATTGCATTTAATATCGATCATTGTTATGTATTTGGAAGAAATCGATCGAACGAGGGGAAGAGACGAACGAGGGGAAGAGACGAATGAGAGGATACAGAGGAAAAGAGGGTTGCAGTGTAACGGCATTAAATATAGACACAAACCCTGAAAAGACGAAAATGCCCCTGCGTGCAAGGCACGTGGGTGGCTTAAACGGAAGGAGTTAACAGTTAACGTGCATAGGGACTAACCATGCAAGATAAATAACAACGAGGGACTGCACGAGTTAAATTTTGGAAATAGGGACTAAACATGCTTTCTGGCATGTGCACGAGGGACCAACGGTGTAATTTACCCAACTAATAAAAATGATTTGGGTGTTCTTTCAGATTATCGCAAAACAACGACAAGCTTTTTCACCTAATAAAATAATTGGATTAGGGTGTTTTTAAGATAATCTTTTTCACGTTTTTTAAGTTTAAAGGGTGTTTTAGATTTTTTTTTTTTTTTTAATCAAAATAGGTTATTGATTTATTAGATTTTTAAAAAGTCCAATTATAGCTCGATATGCTCTTAAATGCTTTTTAAATGACATTTTAACATACTTGAAGATAGAGGTTTCTAATCTTATCTTTTTTAATGAATTTGGCTTTTTAAATTGAAAATGATAATATTACTGTAATGACCACTCTAACCTTATCTTTTCCTTCTCTCTATTCTTTCCATGAATTTTTTAGTCATTTTACAATTAAAATGTTTATGCAATCATAAAAACTAATTTAAACATTTAAAAAAAAAAAAAAAAAAAAAAACTAATTTTATCAACACCTTGATGTCAATAACTATTTATTTTCCAAAATCATTTTTAGTGTTCAAAATGCAATCTCAAACACCCCCTAAATGTTTTTACCATTGTTTAGATAAACGAACAAGTGATAGTTACCAATTGGTTGTGGCGGATTTTTTCATTTTATATTTTTGATTAAACTAAACAAATATAAAATAGTCAAAATTGCAAAAATGATCTTTATGGTATGCATTTTTTTAGGGTTTTAATCTAAATAATGACTTTTTGGATTGATGGTCTTTTTAAACTAGTTTCATTGCGTTTTTTATCCCTGTGAATAATGAAATGACTATAATACCCTTAGATTATTTATTTTTCATTTCTTTCATTTTTTTTAAATCTAAATACTTATTTAATTATTTATTTAACTAATTAAAAAAATAAAACACACACACACTCTCTCTCTCCCCACCGTATGCCCCCACCTCCTTCTCCTTTGTCTTTTTACCCAAGATGAACACTTCAACTTCTTCATATCTTCCTTCTTAATCAAAATTCCACATCTACCCACCAAGTTATCATCTACAACAACCGCTATAGCCCAAAAATCAATTACATTCGATGCTAGTAATACCAACAAACCCGGATTTCATGAACTCAATATGGGTTCCCCTGTTTCCTCCTTACGACCTGGACTAGTGGTAATCGACCCACCATCTTCTCCATACAAGTACATTGACCCACCATCTTCTCCATATAACCATTATCACCATCTTCATAGCAGCAAGAAACCAACCCCCATTCTCGGTTTCTTTCACATACAGATCTATAAATGTCGATTTCATTTTCAATGGACCTTGGTCATGGATTTTGAAGATTGTTCTCTGGAGGTGACAATAAAGATTAATTAAGATCGATAAAGTAACACACCGGTGTTAAAGGCTCAAACTCAATCCTATTCACAACCTTTAATTGAAACACTAAAACTAATTCCTATTCAAAATTCTTCACCTGTAAGAACCCATTTAATAGAATCCTCCATCAATTGAAGGCTCAAAGCAAACACCTTGAGATAACAAGGGGTAGGTGTAACGAGCGTCTATATCGGTCCCAAAAAAAATCTTAGGAGGTGGCAGCGGCGAGGATTCTGGGCCAGATTTGGGAGGCAGTGAAGCACGAATGTGAGGATTGAGATGGGATTTGTCGGATTTTAGAGACAATTGTGTTGATGTTTTCAGTTTCAATTACTAGTTTCTTGAGAGATGGAGATGGACAGATTATGTAGCCCTTCCTTGAAGAACAACAACCAAATAAGCGTTTGAAAACCCATTATCCAGAAGCATTTTATAGATTCAAAAATCTATTTCAGTTTTAGAAAGAAACCTGGAAAATCAACTGTTCACCGGGTTAAGCAAAAAGATATGTGGGATTAGGGTGGAGGAGATGGAGGTGGTTAGCAGTAGATGGTGGTAACGGTGAACAGTGATGGACAGTAGAGATAGCGGTGGAGGTGTTCTTGAGATTATGTGTATGTGTTCTTGATAGTGTTAAGTGTGTGTTTTGGAGAGAGAGAGAGAGAGAGAGAGAGAGAGAGAGAGAAAGAGGGAGAGAGAAAAAGAGAGAGAGAGAGAGAGAGGTGGGCCCATAATTTTTATTAACAAAGCTTTAAATTAAATAGCAAAAACCATAAAAATGTATCAGAATTGCATTTTGGTCTTTTTAGTTTTTTGAGGGACCAAAAACGCAACGAAACTAACTCAAAATGACAACCAATCCAAAAAAAAAAAACATGGTTTGGACTAAAACCCCAAAAAAAATGCGTACCATAGGGACCATTTTTTGCAATTTTGTCTATAAAATATTTGTATGTAAAATTATTTGTATAATTTATGTATTTAAAATACATGCTCGAAAAATAATTAAAAAACAAATGCCTAGAGAAATTTTTTGCTAACAAAAATAATAAATAATTTTTATAATAAAATTTTGAATTTCAAAAAGGCAAAAGTAAAGATAAGACAGTTGTTTTATAATATTTAAGAGATGAACATTTTATTTTTTATGTTAACATGATAAAATAGTTATTTTATAACATTTTACACATCATTGTATTTTGAAAATTTTATCCAATTATGTACATTGAAAGTACAAACATATGCAAGTAAGTTGTTAAAAGTAGGCAATGTCTGGTATGGTGCAATATAGGAAAGAACGGAATGGTTCATTTCGTTAGAATTAAAAAAAATGTTTCATTTGTCAAGAAATCATTTCTTTACTTATTTAATTTTTTATTCTTTTGTGGGTGCATATTAAACATATTTATTTGTTTTATTTTTACATAGGCCCAACATCATTTGCCCCTGTCGAAGAAGCCATGACAACCATTGAAGAAGGTGGTTACCCATATCATATTTTCATTGTCATTGTTGATGGGGAGTTAGGCCCGTAGGATTCTAATTTTTTTACTAGCATTGCACATTCATTTTTCTTGGAAAATCTACCATAATATATTATTTTTGTATAAATTTAGAGTTGGTTACTAAGTTGGATTAGTGTAAAAGCCATCCTTTTAATTGTTATTGTCTTGATGGTCTATTTGTGATGTTTATGTTGAGTTTTAGTTTTATGAAATCATTCTATTGTGATCATAGTATATGTTTACTACTTTAGTTGTTTAGTTGAAAAAAATCCAGAATCTCATGCTACACAAATTGGACCACATTAAATTGAGGATCAAAGCATACACAAAAATTTCATGCTAATGTCATCTTTGGTGGTTTAGTTGTTTAAATCCAAAATGAAAGATTATCATCACAACATGTTTAAGATAAAAAAAAACTATAGAGAATTGGTGGTTAACTTGAAAGTGTCTCTTGGTTACTCTCAACAGATGGCAAAAATAAAATTGATCCCTACATAAAACTGCAACAAAGAAACCGGTCTATCAGTACATACAAATATGGTTCAAAATCATTTATTGGAACGAAGTGTCCAACCCGGTTTGAATCGATCCTTGGATCCAATTATTAGATGGGAGAAATAGTCAAAGTAGAGAATAGCAATGTATTTTACTATAGCTACCAATACATGCAATGTACTTTTCTTTTGACCCATGATAGCAATGTATTTACATCTCTTTATCAAAAGGTAAAACACATTAACAAATACACAGAAAACAATAATTTCCACCCCGCGCAACACATGGAAAAACCCTCTAGTTAGAATAAATATCGGTAAAACATGTACATGCAACACATACTAAAGGTATTTTCTGTAAAAAGAAAAAAAAAAAAAAAAAAAAAAAAAAAGGAAAAAAAATTAATGGTATTTTTTTTTACATACCAAATACTCAAATAGTTAATAGTTACCCTTAAAAGTTATTCCCAAAAATTAGTATAGATATTTTCTAAGGATACGAGATTCAAATCTCAGTCCTAGTAAAGGTCGTGGTCGATATTGTAAATTTGTAATCGAAGAACGTATGAGCGAGTTTTAGGAATAAATTTGACGACGTGGTGGATTTCCAATCCATGCTTCCTCCGTCGGCTCCCCACTGTCTTCTATCTATTCTCTCGGCCTCTGTTTCCGTCTCTGAGAACGCCACCTGATGTCTAGGCTTCTCACCACCACCGTCAACATTTCCGCTGTTATCCTCACCAAATCCCGGCCGCCGCGTTACCTATCACCTTATCAGTTCTCCCTTCCACATGTCACTTCAACTCGCTATCATCTGAAACCTCATCGGAGCATCTCCATTCGAGCTATCAATTCCTCATCTGACACCAAAAGTGAAGATGTTTCCTCAGAGAATCAGGAGGATAAAATCGAGATCAAGTCTGAGTTGGATAATAATGGCAGTTTAAGAGGCGATGATGCGTATCCTACTGGAGAATTTGAGTT